AAATAGGTCAAAATGTCATGCCATCTGCACTTCGCCGTTTTGTTCACGAATCANCACCGGAAAGAAACGGATTAAATATTTTGTAAGGTTTTTAGAGTAACGGACAGAGTAATCATGAAACTTCTGAAGTACAAGTGTCTTGAATAAAATGAAAACTGGGAAGAATATACGGTAAATGTAGTTCCTATAGGCTTATGCCTGAATAATAAGTTTTGTTTTACTCAGTGCGTACCGAAGTACACAAAAAAACTTGAAAGCGAAAGATTACTTTCTCGAAAGGTTAAAGGCTTAACGGTCAGACGGAGGTTGGCAACGAATTGGATTTCATCAATTATTTTGCTCGTACAAAAATATACCTTTCATGAATGAAGATCGTCGGGTTTGAAGAAACCACACGTTACGCATATATTTTCACAAATATATCAAGACTGTTGTAATGCATTTTTGCGGAAAGAAAAAAAGGACACCGGAAAAGACAGACGGTACCAAATTCCTGCATTAGCATCAATAGCAACTAGAGTCAAGTTTCAATTTTACCGGAGCAGTAATTTTCTAGCTTTAGAGCATAAAAAATTATAATGAAACCTGTCAATTCTAGTTTGAATAAACGACCCCTTTCAACTCGAATCCGGGATTTCGAAGGAAATTCTTGCCGTTCATATCTTCGTCAAACAAAAAAAAAGGTTCTTGCGTCTTCGGCAGCAGAAGGCGCAAAAAAGCGACTTTGTTGGAAAAAAAATCCACGTCAAGCGGAAGGAACGTCGGAACAAAATATTTCTCATCAGCAATGAAGTCAAATGGATTTCTTTTCCGCAGACCAGCCCTACCTACTACAAGCGTTTTCTTTCTTTTTAATGCAGAAGGTTTAATTATTTCAGTCGGGGCTTCCAAGGAGCCCCGGGAGCGGGAAGTAACGGTGGCCCCCGTAGGCAACATTATACGCGGGCTCGGCAGGAGATTTCATTCCCTTCACACGACTCAATTTCGCTTCCGTCCCGGGGACACCGCGCCACTAACCCTATTTCATCGATTTTTTTTAATTCCTATCCATAAACGAAGTACAAGGATTTTTAAAATTGCCTCGGGAGAGAAAAAAAATGAGGAATTTGAGCAATTGAAGCTTGTATCCGTGAAAGCGCAGCTTGTTAAGTCGTTTAGAAACTTTCTGTTAATATGCGGCACTTCGACCATTGAGGCCTATTTTTTTCTGGAAATGAATATTCAAGAACGAAAACCATGGAATAAAGTACAGTACAGAAACAACGCTCTGCTTTACACAGAAGATAGTTCAAAAGTTTCGAAATTATATTCTCGGGTTATTCTACTTTTCCGGTCTGAATACTGTACTACGAAGAATGTAAATTAATAAGAAGACCTACAGCTAGCTTATTTTCATTCGCTGAGCATTTTATTCAACAGCAGATTTGAGGAAGAAACTTATTGCTCACCAGTTGGCATTTAGGGAAACTCAATATTCACCATTCCTTAAAAATTGATTTCGAAGATCAGAAAACAGTTGAATCAAAAAATGGTTTCCAATTAAAAAAAAACTGTCTTAAAATCACGAAAATATGTCGGTTATTTGAGATACAATATTACGTACTACACTATAATTGATGATATAATAAGATCACTGCTACTTCGTATTTGATTCGGTGCCCCTCTATTTTCTCCACTGTTCAACTCGGGAGAAAATTTGGAAAAATATCCAGTATTATTGCGAAGACCAGGTCTATTTTGATCCATGAAACAAAATTTGAATTGAATAACAGCAAAAATTCAATATATTTGAGAAACAACCTTTTTTAACTAAAATTTACGCTCTAACATTACACGTAGAAGATTTGAATAAGCTGGAAAAAACCTTTCCAAGCTCCAAAAAGGAAGACACTTTGGAAGTAAGATCAAGATTAAACCGATAGTAGAAAATTTGAGAGAGTAATTCTAATTCAAGCAGGAAAATCCCAGAAAGCATTAATACGTACTAAAACCTGAACATCCATCGCTTCCGCGACAATTTCATTCCATCAGTCGTGAAGAATATCCAATTAAAAAGAAGATTTCTAAGCAGCTCCAGATAAGATTTCCACGTCACTCCCACGTTCTACTTGAATGAAGGAACATAATTCTCCTTTTTTCAGCATCTGCCGCACGGAAAAATACGGGGAAAAGCGTAAGAGAAATTCAACGTAATCTTTCTTCTATAATCGTTGATTAAATCAGTGGTGTGAGGGAGGGGGGAAAGGAGGATTCCATCCCCATGGCTGGAATAACAGCGTGGGAACTTGAGTAATTCCATATTATTTCCTCCGCAGCGCAAAAACTGCGACGATGAAATCACACCTCACAACATCACTACAGTACATGGGAAATCTTTCTAATAAGCCATCTTAAACTAAGAGTAGGGCCTTTTAAGAATCAAACTTAATGGGTCAGGACAAATATGAAATCAACATATGATATCTAGGAAGAATCCCGCCCTTCTAGTCTCGAACTCGGAAATGTGCTCAGGAAAAATGTGAAATCAACGCATGTTATAAGTGAACTTTCTCTCCCTCTGCAACGATATTGTTCACAACTATATCATCTGTGAAAAAAAAGTGTTGGTCCCTTACGGTCCTCCCACCATGTTATAGGGGTTCTCTACAACGAAACCCTCTCCACGACGAATTTCGTTCCGCTCCCTTGGATTTCAAAGCAGAGAAAATCTGGGAAGAATGTGTCCCTCAATAAACGAAGGCAGACACAATTCCAAATGGCATCGGCATTTATAGATGAAACGAACGTTAAAAAAATACCACCTGATCATAAATGAAATTCTCAACGGACGACCCTGAGATCCAGGAAAAAAAATTTCCAACTCAAATATTCGTGTGAAATTCCTCCGAGCAAAGAGATCAACAATATTTTTAAACCCGATCAATTGACACGGAATTCAAGCTCATAGTCGACGACGAATGGTCGAATTCCATCGGCATTGAATCTCTTTTCCCAACCAGATCCGAGAGCAGCGAGAAAATAATAATATTTACCAAGCCGACACCCGATCGAGATATCAAAGGAACGAAGACATATGTACCGCCAAATATCCCACGAAAACGCCCTCAATCCACACACACCCAGGTCGCAACAACTGGAACAAATCCTCGTCTTGCCACCGGCAAAGACCTTTCTCATATCATCCCTTGTTCATCTTCAGGCCATCTGGAAAGAATGCGGCTCGCTTCTTGAATCTAATCATTGTCCTCGATAGGTCCCCGCAGTCGATCATAAAGTCATAGGGATTCCTATCGCGGAGAAAATTTTCTCATCCTTTCTTCGACCGCTAGACGAAGTGAATTCTTGTCAGCACGTAATGTGACAGATGACCGCTTGTACCCGCGGACACAATGACAAAACGAAACTTTCGCCCACAAAACAACAATAGCTCTCGTTGGTTTATGATACCAACTAGGATGGAGAATCGAAATCTTGAAGAAAAATAAATTCCCAATACCGTCGATCAGGTCAGCATATTTTGGCCTTTTCCGACTTCGTAAACGTCGAAGAGGCATAAAAGCGGTTTAAAATGAAACCGCAAGTAGAAGGTGCGAAGTGCTAGCGTGGGGAAATGAGAACGAATTGAGCCACTGACATTTTCCCGGAAACAAAATGCCTCAAGCACGTAATACACCCCCACCACCCCCTAAATAGAAAAGGGCGAATAAATGAATGAATGCACCACAGGGAGTCATCACTAGGTAATGACCTCACCGCAAGAGTGCCGCGGGCAAAGCAAGATTCGCACGTCCGCAATTCGCTCGACACTTCATTTATTCACAGGCATGAGAGAAAGAAAAAGAACGTCAAATCGACCACCTAGGGAACGTTCTAAAAAAATTAGAATCCCAAGAAAGATGAGTAATTAGCGATCTCTTCAATGACTTCGCGAATACACCGTAGGAGCACCACTCCGTTATTTTAAAAATCCCACGTCCTTCCGAGAAAATTTAAATGAACAGTACAGTATCTCTACTGAAAATACTTTTGGGTTCACACAGGAAGCCTTAGGAAGGTGACGGGAAAATCTAGACAAAAAAGATTCACGCTAGCAACAAAAAAAGCCAACGGGTTCAGAACAACAGACAAGCGTTTTAAACTTCGACTTAACCCACGTTTTTTCGTAGAATCGCCTCAGTTCATCGAATACTGTTTTTAGTCGATGTACATAAATCGGTGATATGCACTTCATCACGTCAAAAAATGTTCTAGAAGAATACCAATCAAATGAGCATAATCTTCCTAGTTTCAAATACAGTATTCATCAGAATTTGGAATTAAAATCTGATGAGCTCACATTTGAGGTTTTGGTCGGGTCAGTAGCAGTATCAACGAATGCGGAGATATACTGTAATGTATCATGCAAGGCATTATATTTTTGTTTTAATGAACAGCTTTCTTGTACCTACCAACCAAAGATGCCATGTATTTGAGTAAGCATCCCTGAAGTGTCTCAATATTATTTATACCTGAAAAATTCAGCTGGTGCGTTCTGGTTCATAAGCGACATATTCCAGCAAAAAAAGCCCAATACGAAAAATTTGCCTCAGTTATGGATAAGATGACATAAGAACGCTTGAATTTATACAGTACAGTACAATACTTCATCAAATAAAGAAAGATACTGCCATCGATATCTCCCAAGATTTTGGCAGAAAAAAAATTTATATTTGTTTTCCTTGCGCATCAAAATGACCTTGTTGAATGCCTGAGGCTCACCTACTATTCCAATGTTCACAACTTCGCCATACTTTCAATTCAAAGGCTTTCGCTCTACACGACAACCTGTGGAAATACCTCCATTTTTTTCAAATGTCAATGGTAAAAATTGATGTCCAATTTTTTTTTCCGCGGTATAAAATGCCCTCAATCCTAAGGCCTCGATCCCACCACTCATGACAGGTCCCGAAGTTAGTAACCTTTCACGTTCACGACGGATGAAGGCACAACAAAAATTCGGGTCAACATCTGCCCAGATCTCCTGACACAAAATCGAGCCTGTCGTGGTCTCGAAAGCCTGGAGGACCCTTCACTCGCATGGCCCATTGTCCGAACAAAGCGCCGTAACACATCCCCAGAAATCTAAGCTCATGTCGTCAGCATGAAAAAAAAAAGTAAATTCTGGGAAAATAAATTGATGCGAGAGAGAGAGAGGAAAAGAAAAAGCATTCTAAGGAAAAATCCGTGTTGAGCTGACACGGAGGCCAGGAATGCAACCTTAAAATGCGGGCGCAGGATCCGTTGTACCGTTTGACGCCGTGCGTACGTATACTTTATATGGATATGTTTTGCCACCCGACAAGGCTTTCGAGAAAGCCCGGCGATGAAAAGAATGAAGAGAGAGAAAATGAACTGAAGACTCACCTTGTCAGCTTCACGGGCGTAGGCGCGAACCATCGCAGAGATTTGCGAAGCTCGATGTGTGTAGAGTGGGATTCGGTGGCCCGAGCGAAGCACGAGTTGAAGCAAACTCGACCGCACTGCAACCGCATCCTCCAGGTCGTCCCAGCTGATGATAAAAAGTACAGCACTGTATGAGCACCCCGAAGTTTACAATCGACTAAAATTATGCAGAATCCCATTACGTCTACACAAAAGCTTGCCTGAAACCGCAGGATACCTTCCAAAATTCAACTAAACCATACATCGAACCTTAACCCAACATCCAACTGACCCGAAACACACGACGAAAAATCTTAACAACCCTCAAACCTATTGCAAAACCTGATCTGACCTTTTATAAAACATAACAGAGCAATCATATTTGAATAACATACCCCAACAAGCTTAAACCGAACTTGAAACGCACAGTTATGGCGTAACTGAACAACGAACCGACCTAACTAGATGTACTAAGCTCAAATCTCAATTTAACAGAACGCATTATCTAACTTGAGGCATAGCCAACCACGATTGAAAAAGTAACAAATTATGTATAACACCCAAACTAAGGAATCATATAGCCTAAAATAAGTTAGCAAAACGTAGATTTTCAAAATACCGTATTTAAGTCGGGTACCACGCGCACCTTTTTCCAAGAAACTGGGCCAAAAAGGGGGGTGCTAGTCATAGTCGGGTATACAAATTTTTGGGTAAAATTTTCTTCGATTTTGACATTTGTTTTCACTCCAATTTACCGTTTTTTCGAAGTTCTTCGCTTGAATAATTCCATAATTAGCGTGAGATAAAAACTTCTACATTGATCGCAACTTTTAAGATAACTTGCACATAGAGGTTTACCCTGTGTAGTTGAAAAAAATTTATTGCGGTCACTGAAAACTAAGGTGCGCGTCTAATGCTGGATGGCATTTCTTCCAAACTTAAAGCAGGAAAAAAACTAAGGTTTGCGTCTCACTTGAATGCGTGTAGTACTTGAGTATTGTAAATACGGGCGCTTATGATCACTACATGGTATTATTGATTCAGCTATTTCTACAATGGAATGATGTTTTGTTCTTTTACCGAGTTTACCACAGTGGTCCGTAGGTATTTTGTTTATTAAAATTAATGCAGATTCAACCATCCAAGACATTCTATACTTGCGGCCATGCTCAAATGAGTCAGTTCGATTTCTGTCAATTTTTAAAAATTGCCTAAAGATGATTTCTCTTTGAAAATTGACTATTCTACAGCGTTGAACAGTAAGCCTGATACCCATTTAATACAGTATCGTATTCAAGTTGGATAAAATGATAACCTACCCGAAGTTCTCGATCACATGCAAGTACTCCTGCTGCTGAGTCACGTCACGTCGCACGAGCCGAACACCGGAGTGCGATACGGCCAACATTTGCACATCATTGAACTGCCGGCCACTCTGGAATTTCAAAAGGAATCACGGAACGGGTATTATTCATATCCTCTCACTTGATGTCGCCCACGCTGAACTGAAAAAAGCAAAACGACTCACAGTCACTGGAAAAAGTCGGGCGAAATAACACGGGAACTCCTTAGCGGTGTGCACAACGTTGCGCTTGAGCGTGGCTTTGAACTGCGGCGCGTGAATATTCGCCATGGTTATGCCGTAATTGTCGAGCATGAGTCGCAGTCGTCGACGTTCCGAAGGAGACAAGCGCACTGTGCCAGGTGACGACAGCAACGCATCCCTGACGACTTGACAGAAAATCAAGTGCAACGCCAGGGGATTTTGCAACGAGTGCTCACGCGGCGAAAACACCTGGAAGAGAAAATACAACTTTTCCTTACACGGGTACTACTAAAACAGGTTGATTACAAAAATAACTTTAATTCGCTCAACTACATTTAGCTACCACTAGGAACGATCATTGGTGCCCTAGATAAAAGCAAAATACAGTGTACCGATTTTTATACAGCTATATTTAAACCTGATGTATAAAAAAATAAGTCTATTGTAAATGGATCTGATTGAATTCTCGCTTAAATGATGTACCGTATGGTTTTATGATTTCAGATCAATGGCATTACCAGCAAAAGAAGGTTAGGGAAAATAAATTTGTAGAATACGACATCAGATGAATTTTTCCGAACTGTTTGGAATAAGGCTCATACAATGGTTTTAGTGTTTAAGCATACGTTTACACGATTCGACAAATCTTTTTAAACTTTTAAACGTTTTATAAGTCGTCCGAAATTTTTTTTTTAAACTGCTGCAGTTTCCCTCGGTGAAAAACTGAACTTGAAACTTTTTCGGCTCAAAATTTGATTAATTTTGCGGCAGGAAAGCTGCATGCTTCTTTAATCGATATGATTCTATAGCACTAAATTTTAAAACCATATTAATTTGGGTAAAAATGTCTCGTTATCACGCATCTTGTGAGTTAAGCGAATAAAAAGAGCGCTCTCCAGTCGAGAGACCTTTATATATGACACCTATTCATTCGGTTCGATTCACGTAGATAAGATGATATGCTAAAAGGCTTAAACTTTAGCAAACAGAATCGAATCTTCGCCACAGAACTTTTGAGGATTAGAAGCAGCTAAACGAAAAAAAAAGAATACTCACCTCTTTACGAATGTGAATTTTCCATGGTACACGAGTGTACGTCAAATAAGGTGCTTGAGAAGGAGGATACAACTTCGTTTTGATTCGCTCCAAGGTACGAGCAGTGAAGTCGTCATCCAATGCATTGGCATGCTTTGGATCAATTGACTTCAAGAACTCCGAGTTCGATTCTTCAACTGGACAACACAAAATATGATATGTAGTAATTTAAGACTCGTATATCAAGCTGAAGAGATGAAAAAATTTAGAGAACTAAATCCGAAACTTACATTCCACTTTATCACTCGAATTGTGGGCCAGGCTCGAGGATGAATTCTTCCTGCTGCTGCTTGAGACTGGTTGGATTAAACCACCAGACGTGCGTCTCGGCGACTGACCAGCGGGCAGAACAGTCGATGGGACATTTCTATTTTTTTTCAATTGAAAGAAATCAATGAACGTTATTTCATCTGAGTTTCTTAGCTTGAACATACGCAGAATACGGTGGGCCTCGCATCGGAGGCGATATATCAACATGCAATGGTCCAACTGGAGGTGGTGGGATATTCTGACCATCAAGTCGGTTCATAACATTTGAGGGAAGTCCACGATGCATTCCGCCGAGCTGCTGCTGCAAAAGCATCTTCCTCTTGTCCTCGATCTTGCGCACCACGCGGTCCTTGGTTTCCACCTCCGTGCGAACGGAAGCCCTCGTGTTATTGTTCCTTTAGGTATAGAAATGAAAAGAAGGAGAATCATACTGTGCTCTATTCAAGAAAATAAAAAAATCCACTTGAATCGACAATTTTTTTATGCCAGAGGCATGAGAAACTTACGTGACGGTGTGACTACCCGTGATTTCCTCGAGCCTTTGTTTCATCTCGTTGCTGATTTGCAGTTTTCCAACGTTACCGGAAGGAGTTCTAACAACTGCCTGATGGAAGGACGACTTGACCATCTAGAAAAAATAATACAAGGCCTTCGTCAGTATTTATTATAAAAATGGATTTCAAAAATTAATGTCATACAACTTGAACAGAAACCGGATTATCCGAGCTCTAAATGCTCGTGTCTGCATGATCATATGAAAATCGTACTAAATTACTGTATTCAAAAACAGCATCAATTACAGCATTTAACAATTCAATGATTCAACAATGAAAAATACACACTATATCTCTGATCACATGGAAATACAGTTACTCAAACATATTGAAACTGCAGAGGCCGCTTACGGTCCCTTTCACGCAGTGTCAATCGGAATTTAAAGATCCTTAATTTAAAGAACGGTTCATCGAAATCCTACTTCAATCAACGTTCCACATTAATCTTACTCTTGCACCAATCGAAATCTCACTTTCTCCGAAGCTCTATTTTCATTAAAAAAACTTTTTCGAATGATAACTTCATTACACGTTCTATGAATCTATGTGGATACCTAACCAATGGAGAAGAGCGATCATGGAAAATTAAGCGAGGCAGATCAATTTGTTGGAGAAAACTTCCAAGCATTTTGACTCAAACCAAAATAAATCGAATTTTAGTTGAACCTCAGCAGAAGATTCTTGTCCGCCGTTTTCGCCTCGATGGTTCGGACCAGAAGCTTCGCCCGGTTGACCATACTCTTCCATATATTCTTCGTCAAACTCATACTCGTCCCATTCGATGCCTTCAGCAGAATTATCGCCTTCACCACTGGGAGGACTACCGTTTACGCCAAAACGTCTCGTCTGCTGCTGACGGAGCTTGAATTGCAGAAAAGAATCTCCGCCATCATCGATTTCCGTTCGCGGTGGGGGCCAACGCCATTTGCCGATTCGCACAGTCTTCGCGCGGCCAAACATATCTTGGAAACTTTGCTCGCCGCCTTCTCCGGGGTGGCCGTCTGGGCCAGAGGGCATCGGTGGCGGAGGTGGAGGAGGAGGTGGCGGCGGGGGTGGTGGTGGTGGAGCTTGGTTGGGCCTGGACGGCGACGGCTGAAGAAGACAGACAAGATTTTCTTCAAAGAAATTCTTCGATAAGTAACAGCAGGCGATGAACGGAGGTTTACCGTTTTTCTCCGAAAATAAGATAGTTCTTGCATTTTCCTCTCCAACATAGGCACGGGAGTTACTTTAAACTGGAGTATTCCACATCATAAGGCATCCATCAGGTATACGGTACTGGAGTATAAATTTACATTTATTGCACCGAATAACGTACGTTTCATACAACGAAACCTCGTTCAACATTATACAGAAATAACCAATTGAAACCTCGTCCCGAATAAAGAATCTTTTGTTGTCTTAACCAGCTTAATTTATATTCGCAAGAATTGTCTGATCAACAATTCCGCAACTAGAATTTAAGCTGGTTAAGACAACAAATTTGTAGTCTAGTGGAGATTTGTAGTCTAATAAAAGTCAAGACTACACTTTATTTAGATAATAAAAGACGTTCCTTGCAAAATTGTGGATTCAAATTCATGCTGGAAAGCTGAAAGCTCAATCCCGGCTTTTCAGGAACTGGACCGCATTGAATTTAACGGCCCAGTCTACAATAAGCTTACTCATAATATCGATCCAAAATATTCGATTGATGCAATCAATTTCTGTTACAGTATTTTAGGGCATGAGTTCGGCAGAAAAATTGTGGCATAAAATTGTACGCAACATCCACATCATAAGGCATCCATCAGGTATACGGTACTGGAGTATAAATTTACATTTATTGCACCGAATAACGTACGTTTCATACAACGAAACCTCGTTCAACATTATACAGAAATAACCAATTGAAACATCGTCCCGAATAAAGAATCGTTTGTTGTCTTAACCAGCTTAATTTACATTCGCAAGAATTGTCTGATCAACAATTCCGCAACTAGAATTTAAGGTTAAGACAACAAATTTGTAGTCTAGTGGAGATTTGTAGTCTAATAAAAGTCAAGACTACACTTTATTTAGATCATAAAAGACGTTCCTTGCAAAATTGTGGATTCAAATTCATGCTGGAAAGCTGAAAGCTCAATCCCGGCTTTTCAGGAACTGGACCGCATTGAATTTAAAGGCCCAGTCTACAATAAGCTTACTCATAATATCGATCCAAAATATTCGATTGATGCAATCAATTTCTGTTACAGTATTTTAGGGCATGAGTTCGGCAGAAAAATTGTGGCATAAAATTGTACGCAACAAGACTCATACTTCATGAACTGGTCGTATTTTCGGAAAAACGCGGTGACATTCATTGTTGCAGCAGAACCTCTCATAAAAAGCGTGAATCGGTCGGAACAAAAGCAAAACAAAAAATTGCATCGCGAGTGCTTCGTGATCTACTCAGGGTACTATAGAAGAAGCAATGAAGAAAAGGTCTCTACAGTCTTTCCAGCACTGTGAACGGAAATCACATGCGCCGAAAATAGTTCCAAACAGGATCGAAATACTGATCGAAAGAAACGGAAAAGACAACCGTTGCGTTTTTGTCCATGAAATTCAGAATTTTTGTTGTACTCTTTTTTACAAAAGGATGAGCGCGTCGATAGAGAAAGGATAAAGAAGCTTTTTCAGTCTCTCTCTATGCATGTATACATAATGTCAGATTTTATACCTTCCCGAGCGAAGCATCCTCCGCAGAACTCTTTCGCCTCGTGGGCTCACTCGCACTCGGGCTTGGAGAGTCCTGTTCGAATGCATACTTAGGCTTATCCCCGAGCTCTTCCTTGGTCGGAGGAGACGGAAACTTGGAGTTTGACGAATGCGATCGCAAGGGTTGTCCTTGGGCCGACACGCTGCCGGACCTGCTTTGCCCGGGCGACAACCGACTCTCTCGGCGCCCCTTCTCGGAAGTCCAAGTCTCGTTTACGGACTCGGTCTCTTGGAATGACACCTTCAATTTCCCCACAAAATGGTCGATAAAGGATCTAAATTCTTTGCAATAAGGCGCTTCACGATGACATGAAATGCGGCCTTCACCCGAATATCAGAAACAAGCGATGGACACTTCCATATTCACAATGAGTAACTGATTTCCTCGCGCAATTCTATATTAGTATTTGTATTTTCAATACTGTCCTTTTCAGCATTGAATTTTAAAATGAATTCCGCAGTTTCAGTGTCGAATTAATCAAGAAAATAGCCTTGATATTTTCCAATAAGTATCTTCTATCCTCTCAAATGACAATAATAATAAAAAAAAAAGACGGGTAATGTCAAAGGAAAACTTTGCCACGATGCGTGCTATTTCAACTTTTCGTAAAAACCAAGTTTTCGGATGCTTTTAAAATCTTCCGTTTAGGTTTAAAAAATGATTCGTCATTCATACCTGTTCTAATTCCTGCGGTACGTGAATTCAATCCTTTTTAAGAAAATCTCAAGTGTAAAAATTGGCCTTGAACTATTGGCAAAACCCTTCGAAAGTATCACCCCAGAATCATCGCCAACAGTTAAAAAAAAATAATAATTTGTGAAATATTCGAATGAATCAATTTCCACCAAAAAGATTTAAAAAAGAGCCTTGATTCTTATTTGTTGAATGCTGCAATTGTTGTATCAAGATAGACGAATGTGTCCGGTACGAAAATTTTCGGAGAATCTGTCAGGAGGAGTGAACGAAAAACGAAAAAAGGAAATTTTAAAAAGTGCTGATGTAATCTGATCTATTCTGCGCGTGGAAATCAAATACCCTTCGCAATTACTACCCCCAACTTTTATTGAAGAGCAGCTGAATTCCAATTTATCAAATTCGCCGAACAGTCCTGTCAGCAGAACGGTCACTGACGTGCATTCATAGAAACACATTATTGAATTGGTGAGTCAACCGAGAAAGTTAAAAAAGCAATAACATTTCTGAAAGAACATCTCGTAACCTTTTTCTCCAGAACCGCTTTCCAAATTCTCGTGTCACCTCCACAATCGACCACAGAATCAACGAAAAGTTGGAAACTATTTGTAAATCGAGATTAATCAACACCCGTCAATCAGTCAGTCAGTCAAAAAAAAAACCAAGATTGAAATTGTCATGAAGTACCGCAGAAGACACTCGAAAAAAATGAGCCATCCACCAGAAGTTTGAAAAAAAAAATTAGTAATGTAATCATTTTCAAAGATGCAAGTCGCTGTGGTTCAATTAGAACCAATTCATCCAGCGAATTCAAATAAAGGCTGCGTGCTCACCGACAATAACTGGGCAAGGGCTTGATTTTGTGCCATCAGTTGTTGTTGAATCTGGAGATTCTGAGAAAGTGCCGATTGCAAGAAGGCACGTTGGAACATTTGCTGGTGCAATTGCATCGCTTGCATTTGCGAGTTCTCTAAATTCCCGGAGCTGGCGTTCAATTGACTCTGGCTTCCTCCAAAGCTCGTGTTTCCTAACTGACTCGGCGGTGATCCTTGGTGTGAAACTCCTACTCCGGCTGGCATGCTGAATCCTGTAGTCACACGCGAAGAATTTCGTGGATTTCACTTTCAAGAGGAATTTATATGAGCAAACACAATAAAATGCTACCCCAGAGTAATTTAAAATTATAAACAGAGGCAGAAAAAGGAAACCAGCAAAAATTAATTGCTCCACTCCACGAAGTTTCGGTACAGTATTTTCTTCTCCGCATATTTTCGTTTTTTATATTTTCATCTGGGTTTATCCTATAGGGAAGTATTTCATTGGTTCTACCGAAGACACGTTTTTTGCACACAAAAAAAAATTGCATGGCGTCTGTAAAATAGCCTACAAAAATGGGGGATTTTCTCCTCGGAGCTCTTCGTTTTTATCCTGAACAATATCGTCAAACAAAAATAAAACAGCCGCTTCGTTTTACGCTTTTTCTCCGAATTAGATTTGCATGACAGTTTGAATATTTCACCGAATCTTCTCATCGAAAGTGCTTTTTTTTTGCAGGCAAGTGACAGAATTTGTTAAACAATTCGGTTCCCCTGGATTAATCGTGACACATTCTTATCAAACTTTGGAAATCGCCCTTTTGGTTTACCGCCACTGGTCTATTCTTCGCCAAAAATGTTAACCTATCAAACTAGAGAACCTCAATTATTCCTGACTCAATTAAATTTGCCCCAGAGTCTAAGCAAAAGATATCTAGAACAGTTGGCGAGCTCGACGCAGCTCGAGCTCGCCGGAATCATCCGCCGGACTGATATTGAGATGGCAAGTAACATTTTCTGAATAGCTCGCGGTTTGGAGGAAGTCCAGAAAAATAGCTTTGATCTTTGACATCACAATGAGGATTGCTGATATAATGCCAGGTTTTTCTTTCCCTTGTCATTTTGGGTTATTGGTTACTATAACTCTTGATCACCCGGAAGAAAATATTCAGTCATCAGGCCCAATAATCGTTGTTGAACGACTGAACACAGAACCATGCATAGGCATGCAATGGCAATGCACGCTGAGGTCCATTGCATGTTCCAATGTATTTCAGATCTGATCAGCTGATTGTTCTAATTGTGCCAAATGATCTAGAATTAGATGTTCCAATTGGTCTAGATTTCCTAATTGTTCTAGATGTTCAAATTTTTCTAGATGTTCGCATTGTTCTAGATGTTCTAATTTTTCCAGATGTTCTAATTGTTCTAAATGTTCCAGCTGTTCTAGATGTTCTAATTATTCTAGATGTTCAAATTTTTATCATAATTTCTCAACTCAACAGAATATTAGGTCAAATACTAACCTACCTGGATGAAAGTCCCAGCTATTTTTTTGGAATCTGTCAATGTAAGTCCATTCAATTGATTATTTCCAGTCAATTTAATTACAGTTTGTGCATCAACTTTCCCAAAGAAATATTCATAATTGGCCTATATGGCTGTTGAAAAAAAAGTTTTACTACACGCTACTGTTAAAAAATGGAAACGACACCTATGAAAACGTGANGGCGACAACCGACTCTCTCGGCGCCCCTTCTCGGAAGTCCAAGTCTCGTTTACGGACTCGGTCTCTTGGAATGACACCTTCAATTTCCCCACAAAATGGTCGATAAAGGATCTAAATTCTTTGCAATCAGGCGCTTCACGATGACATGAAATGCGGCCTTCACCCGAATATCAGAAACAAGCGATGGACACTCCCATATTCACAATGAGTAACTGATTTCCTCGCGCAATTCTATACTGTATTAGTATTTGTATTTTCAATACTGTCCTTCTCAGCATTGAATTTTATAATGATTTCCGCAGTTTCGGGGTCAAATTAATCAAGAAAATAGCCTTGACATTTTCCAATAAGAATCTTCTATCCTCTCAAATGAAAATAATCAAAATAAAAACGGGTAATGTCGAAGGAAAGCTTTGCCACGATGCTTGCTATCTCAACTTTTCGTAAAAACCAAGTTTTCGGATGCTTTCAAAATCTTCCGTTTCGGTTTAAAAAATGATTCGTCATTCATAACTGTTCTAATTCCTGAGGTACGTGAATTCAATCATTTTTAAGAAAATTCAAGTGTAAAAATTGGCCTTGAAGTACTGGCAAAACCCTCTGGAAGTATCACCCCAGAATCATCGCCAACAGTTTAAAAAAATAATAATTTGTGAAATATTCGAATGAATAAATTTCCACAAAAAAGATTTAAAAAAGAGCCTCGATTCTTATTTCTCGAATGTTGCAATTGCTGTGTCACGATAGACGGATGTGTCCGGTACGAAAATTTTCGGAGAATCTGTCAGGAGGAGTGAACGAAAAAACGAAATTTTAGTAAGTGCTGATATAATCTGATCTATTCTGCGCGTGGAAATCAAATACCCTTCGCGATTACTACCCCCAACTTTTATTGAAGAGCAGCTGAATTCTAATTTATCAAATTCGCCGAACAGTCCTGTCAGCAGAACGGTCACTGACGTGCATTCATAGAAACACATTATTGAATTGGTGAGTCAACCGAGAAAGTTAAAAAAGCAATAACATTTCTGAAAGAACATCTCGTAACCTTTTTCTCCAGAACCGCTTTCCAAATTCTCGTGTCACCTCCACAATCGACCACAGAATCAACGAAAAGTTGGAAACTATTTGTAAATCGAGATTAATCAACACC